TACCACTCTTCAGCTTGGATGTCGCAAACACCTGCTGCTTTACCACTCTTCAGCTAGGATGTCGCAAACACCTGCTGCTTTACCACTCTTCAGCTTGGAATTCGCTCCCCTGACTTCACTCAGGGGAAATGGATCCTCGCTAATGGATGGGTATGGCAGAGGAATCTCAACCTGATACAACTGCTCAAAATACTCAGCCCAACGCACCCGCACTACATCAGGATGAGATATTATCTGGCCGCTTGCTGAGCGGACCGCAATCGTCTGTGAGGAGGGCTTGGAGTTCAGCTTTCTCAGGTCTTGGTAGGCAGGGCGAAGGTCATTTATTAGGAAGTGGCTCTCGACCTCTTCTGCAAGATTTCTGATAAACTGTTTCTTATCCCTTTTCAACAGAGACCTAGTCCTGCACACCAGAGAACGGTGTAAGTTGCGATCCCCTGACAATCAAGCTGCACGACAAGCATCTGTGGCTTCCAGTGTCTCCTGCGAGATGGAATTCTGTCTTGCTCTTGGGCGTTCACCAATCCATTCTTGGGCTGCATCATGTGTTTCATGCTTGAAGTGTCCCCCAGAAAAACAGGGTCTGTCAGGCCCTCAAGTTCTGTGAAACGACCAGAGATAGTCTCGGCAAACTCCCGGGCACACTCAATCTGTCCACATGAAGCACCCGAAGGTGTTCATTGGAGAGATGGGGGGTTCTAAAGTAGACCCGGAGAGTAGCCACAACTAATCTATGATCAGTTCCCCGGAACACCCTGCAGTTCTGGAGGAACCTCCATCAAGTGCTAACAAGGATGTGGTCGACCTCCTTGGCCACACTACCCATAACGCATTACCAAGTCCATCGATGTGGGTCAGAACGCAGGAGCCAGGAGCCAGAAATCCTCAATTTCAGGGACCAAGCAAAGTCACTGAAAAGGAAGCTATTCTCGCTGCCAGCATCAGCTCCTTAGACCTGTGTGTGTGTGTGTAACAGATATGAATGTGTGTGTATACATACATACATATATATATATATATATATATATATATATATATATATATATATATATGTGTGTGTGTGTGTGTGTGTGTGTGTGTGTATGTATGTATGTATATATGTGTGTGTGTGTGGTGTACTTTTTATATATTTTGTGAAATGCCTCTGCACATAGTTAATTAGTAGTATTAGCGGGAAAAAAATACTAGTGCTATGAATATCGATGGTGTTATTTTTATTATAAACATTATAATTACTATAATGTTATAAACATCAGTACGTAAAATATTTTCGTAAATCAAAGAAAAGGGTAAACGGGCGAGACAGACAGTACTCGTAATTGGCTCATTGGTGACTTAGTACAAGTGTAGCCATCTATGTTCAAAACAAATAAACAAGTAAACTCACAGTGGGCATGGCATACACGTACACATCATGAGTTAAATATATATATATATATATATATATATATATATATATATATATATATATATATACATATATATATACATATACATATATATATATATATATATATATATATATATATATATATATATATATATATATGTGTGTGTGTGTGTGTGTGTGTGTGTGTGTGTTTGTGTATGTGTTTGTGTTTGTGTGTGTGTGTGTGTGTGTTTGTGTGTGTGTATTGAGCATATATATGTGTGTGTATATATATGTATATATATATATATGTAGATATATGTAGATATATGTATGTGTATATATATGCATATATGTATATATATGTAGATATATGTACATATATGTGTAGATATATGTAGATATATACATATACACGCACACACACACACACACACACACATATATGTATATATACACATATATATATATATATATATATATATATATATATATATATATATATATATATATATATATGTATGTATGTATATACATATATGTATGTATATTATATATGTACATATAAATATATATATACGTATGTGTGTATATGTATATACATGTATGTATGCATATATATATATATATATATATATATATATATATATATATATATATATATATATATGTATATATATATATATATATATATATATATATATATATATATATATATATATACATATATGCATATTCTATAGGCTAAATGGAAGTGGATCTATCTGGCTATATGCACTATGACATTATCTAATGATAAAATTTCTGCGAATGGAATCCTCTTATTTGTTTATGAGTGCGACTTTCCAGGGATATATCCCAAGTATTGTAAAAAGCAATTTATGAAATACTTGCGGGATATCTACATTCCACAATATATATATATATGTGTGTGTGTGTGTGTGTGTGTGTGTGTGTGTGACAGACAGATAGACAAACAAGTATACAGTTAAATGGATAGTTATATAAAATGGGGGGATTTGTATGAGGAAGAAAGTATTGTATATGTACTTAGGTATATGAGTGTACATACACATCTATCTGTTTATCTATCAATCTGTTTGTTAGTCGGTCTGTCTGTCTATCTATCTC